CACCTGATGGTAAGCGATCGCAACAAAGGAGGAGTCAAAGGTGCGTTGCCAGCCTTTTAAAAACGAATGCGCTCTTTTATTATTATACACACAGATTATTCCACATTTTTGCTGTGCGAGGCAGAAAACTACGTGAGAAGCGCACAGTTGTGGCCTGCCAACCATCTATATGATGGGGATGCATATGTTGTCGTGAGGGTCGATGGCGAAAAGATGCGGCAGGTATTAGGACAAATAATTCCTCAGAGCACTCTCCGTGGTAAAAGCATGCATACTTCATCAACAAGCCATGGAAGATATTGTTATTGGCATTTAACTATAAAAAATACCATCCTACTGGACAGAATTAAAAAGTCAGTTGACTCTCACAAATCAGAAATTGTTTTATCAAATGTTTGTATTAGTTTTACACAAGACATTTAGCCTTAATTATTATGTTTTCCACTTATTCACGCAACTGGTTAGTCATGCTAGTGGCTCATATTCATGAGCGGCATTCCTTGAAGCTAGTCGAGTTCCTCGTCAAACAGTTACGTGAGTAACTAAATTATTATGTTTTCAGCTTACTCACGTAATAATTTGACGAGGAACTCGACTAGTTTCAAGCCGTGCTAGAGGCTCATATTCATGAGCAGCATTTCGCGACCCGCGACGCGGCGACTGTCGCGCTGCTACTGATTGCCCTTGTCAAATTATTACGTAAGCCGAAAACATAATAATTTATTTAGTATGTCTCACGAAAGTTACAATACAAAAAAAATTAAGTAAGTAAGCCGAAAAAACATAATAATTAATTTCGTACCTATGTCTCACGAGAGTTATAATATAAACAACTAGCGTCTGCCCGCGACTTCGTACGCGCAATCTCGTTTTCTCCCGTTCCCATACGATTTTCAGGATTTTTTTCTATCATAAGAACCTTCTCCTGACAATAACAAAAAAAAAAATCAAAAAAGAAATCAGCCGAATCAGTCCAGCCATTCTCAAGTTATGGTGTGACAACGGGAAACGGGTTTCATTTTTATATATTACTAGCGGACCCAACAGATGTTGTCCTGCATATCCACTTGAATGTATAAACAAAAATTCAATCAAATTAGTTCAGCTGTTTAGGATAAATAACCTAAACATCGACTGCAGCGCCATGTGCCGGGCTGATTTGTGAATCTAAACCATTCCCAGAGATTTGAGAGAAGTTCAATGACATACACACTCACAGAAGAATTATATATTAATGTAACATGAAGTTGTAAATTGCAAAATTGGTGGTCAAGTGTACCTAGTACCTATTAATTCGAGAAACCAAAGTAAAACATTATTGTCATAACTATTGTATGTATCTAACCATTTAATAAGAATTAGGTAAGGAAGGGTAACGTCCATACCTAATGCATGCATAGATATTACGGGATAATTAGTTCATAATTTGCGGCTGACGTAGAAACCACATATTCATCAATACTGTCATATCACATACAATGTACACAATAAGGATGATGACAGCGTATGAAAATTAAAAATCTAATTAGTCCGTCAGTTAGGGAAAAAAATATATTAGACACGTATTTTTTTATTATGTCGTATAATAAAACAATACTTAGATAAAACGAATCAAAGTTTGGAAGTGGGGGCTAAAACGTCATTTCTACGTATAAAATGTACATAGAAGTGACGTCACGCAACATTTCAAATGAATATATCGTCGAAAGTATTCGTTTCAGTAAGAAAATAAAAAATACGTGTCTAATGATTTAAAATAATCTACCCGACGGACATTAAAATAAAAATTAGGCATCTACCATATTATAATGTACAGTCTTAATGCAATTTACAGTATTTGTGTCTTTTATTTAACAATATCAAGCAAGATGATCAACATTGGAATTGTAAGTAAAAAAAATTATTAGATTTTCCAATTTGGCAATTTTTTATAGGGAAAAAGGGGTGATATTATTATAGAAAGAGAAAGGTGTAACTCCATAGACCTTCTTGGAATATTAAAAGAATAAGGGCACAGTTCCCAGATAATCCAATCCTATTTTCGTTAGTGTAATATTATTTACAAAAGATTATACTTCCTTATAACTTCTGCGGTAGGCAGAGGTGCATTTTTTTTTTTTTTTTTTTTTATAATTGATGGGGCGACGTTTGACCACTATCTCACCTGTTGGTAAGCGATGATGCGGTCTACGTTGGAGCACGTCGTCCCATAAGCAACCTATTCACTCGGGCCTTGAAGACTCCCAGGTTATACCCTTCAGGAAATACAGACTCTGGCAAAGAATTCCACTCTTTAGCAGTACGCACAAGGAAGCTTGAAGCAAAGCGCTTCGTGCGTGTGGGCGGAACATCTACCATGAATCGGTGACGCTTCGCGGATTGTCTTGTGGTACGATGATGGAAAGGACTAGGGGGAATCAAGTTGTGCAATTCCCCCGCACACTCCCCGAAATGTATCCGGTAGAAAACCGAAAGGCTTGCAACCTTACGCCTGTGTTCGAGGCTTTGAAGCCGAGCCTTCACAAGCGCATCATCGTCGATGAGCCTCCTGGCACGCCTCTCAATGTGCTCTAACGCGTCCAGCTGATATTTAGCCGAGCCGTCCCAAAGATGAGAGCAGTACTCCATACAGGACCGAACCTGTGCTTGGTACAGGCTCAGCAATTGTTTCGGCGTGAAGTACCGTCTCACCCTCCAAAGGACACCCGACTTCCTACCAGCCAGTTGCGCTTTTGACTCTATATAGGAGCCAAAGTTGAGCGTGGGCGTCAGAGTTACACCAAGAAGCTCAAGACGATCGGTTATCGGTACGGATACATTCCGGAAAGTAGGAGTCAGCGGAAATTGACTCCGTTTGGCGGAGAATAGACACGCCTGGGTCTTGCTAGCATTGAACCTAACCAAGTTGGCGTCACCCCAGTCGGACACCGCCTTCAAGGTCGAGTTCAAACGTTCGACCATGGATTCTCTTAAAGACTGGATCTGTGTTCCGCTTAATATAAAGTAACTTTATTTAAATTTAGTAACTTTATTTTTTCGCCAGTTTGATTATATATGAGTCCCATCAAATTTTTTTTTGTTTTTGAGTTGATGATTGAGGCGATAAAATCATCCAATGACTTTTCTCACCTTGGGTTAGGCAAGAGAGAGAGTCTATTATTACACACTATACGACAATACTATGTATTACGACAGACTATTATTGACTAAATTCCCCGTTCCTACTCTTGCTTTTTGAGCCGGACCGTCTGCAGACCCGCAGATTCCATCATGCTTTAAATTAAGTACTATTTTAAATTTTATGCTTTTACTATTAAAAAAAAACCAATTAAACCCAATAGTAATTTGCTCACAGTGTTGCTTGTGATAAATTGATCAACGGCCCAGTAACACATACAATCAATTTTCAATATGAATTATAAACATATCTTCAGAAAGAATTCACGACTGTCTCTTGTTAATAGGTAGACAGATATTTCAAACATTAACAATGATTACATACATGAAGGTTTTAATTCAACTTAGCAATTTAGCAAATTATAATAAAATGTATTCATAAATGGGTCCGCCATAATTACTGGCTGTCGGAAAATGTGAGTTTATAAATGTTTTTTCAAGTGGCAACACCAACGATGCCTTTAACCTTTTTAAATTTAAAAAGTAGCTGTTCTTTTTTTATTTCTAGTACGTTTTCGGACGAATGAAATTAGTATCAAAATTATAATCAAAACTATGTTAAATGTGTCGTGGTGGCCCGGAGGATTAAGACGCACGCTTCTCATGCATGAGGGTGCGGGTTCGAAACCTACCAACGTCAAGTACCAATGTGACTTTTTCCGAGTTATACTTTCTAAGATTATTCAGACGCCACTGACAAACGGTGAAGGAAAACATCGCGAGGAAACCTGGGCTTATAATTTCTAATTATAAGTTTGTAATCGCCAACCAGCATTGAGCAAGCGTGGTGATTAATGCTCAAACCTCCGTGTGAGAAGAGGCTTTGCTCAGCAGTGGGCATTTAAAGGCTGTGGATGAATCAAAACTAGCGAATTCAACGAATTTTGAAAACGTTCGATGTCTCAATGTCATCAAGATAGACAAAGTGTCAAAATATAGCTCACAGAGACACTTACAAACTAAAATGGCACGTAAGTATACGTATAGTTAGGTTCAGTTTTACAAATGACGCGTCTAGCCACTAAGCGCTGGTTGTCAGCACTCAGTGAGAATACAACAGACGTTTTAGTTCTATAATACTCAAGGCTTTTACACTGTTGCTCATCCATTGTGCTATATTCAAGCTATTTTTTCTCCTTTTGGACTGGAAGTATTGCTTTCATGGTTTATATTTGGAAAACAAGATAGTATTAGTGTCTTTCAGAAGACATATACCGGAATACTGAAACGTTACTCAATTTTAAGTCGTGCTTAAATATCGTGCCGTCTCTGTCATTTTACAAAGAATTTGTGGAGACAGAACTATACTTAAGCGTGACTTAAAATTGAGTAACGTTTCAGTATTCGGACAATAATTAGCTTTTGTATGTCTACTGCTTATTCACTGTATACAAAACTCTTGCTTTGTAGTGAATACTTGAAGTGGTACTTTGAAGTGCCATCACCAGTTTGTAAGTTAAATCCCTATCTATACATTTACCAATTACAAATATAACACCAGCTTCTAACATTTCACCCGTTGACAATCATCCCCTAAATTTTTTATACAAAAGTAGTCTCTAAACATTGGAAATAAGGTCTATAATGTAGTTAGTGGAGAGCGGTCACCGGTGACAGCTTGGGGATATATGGGTTGAATGTCTAGTTAAACAGCAGTATATCTCTACTGGCACTACAAAGTACCAATACAGATTCTATCACTATTTCGATTAGAATTTCGATTCCTGTCTAAATATTTGCCTTAGAACATGGTCTAGATATATCATAGAGTCTGTTTTAGTTTAGATTTGAATTTCTGTCTAAATATTGATTTTGTGACGTACCTGTAGCACATTCAGCGAGACATATGACGAGTAGCAGCGCAAACACTTTGGTGACGGTGCTGCGTGTTGAGCTGGCTCTATTTGATCTGCGATCCATTGTGGTACTTCGATTGGTAGATGCTGTAACAAACGGTGTATATTAACAGGGGTGAGCAGAGGTGCACATTATGCCACTGTACAATATAACACCTATTTTTCCCTATTTATGTTATGAGTCCCATGTAATAGGGCGGAGCCTATGGCCATATACACGGCACGATTCCAGATTCCGTGCTACTAGTCATATTTTTTTTAAAAAGCCAGTAATTTTTTGCCCTACCCGGAAATCAAACTCGAGACCCCTTGACCCCCTCGCACTTGCGACCACACGGCCAACGAGGCAGACGGTGTAATGTTTGTAAATTAATGTTTAAGTAGGAATTGAGTATTTATTTCAATGGTGTTACACATTAATTTCGAACATGAATTGACGGACTTCATGCTATTGGCATTCTTTGATAGTCAACCATTACGTTATCAGCTGTGGTGACTTTTTTGGTGACATATTTTATTTATTGGTGATCTTCTATTTTGGAACAAAAGTTTACGTAGAAGTAAAAAGTGTAGATTCAAATTTTGAAAAAACAGAAAAAAAATTTTTAAGAATTTAGTAAAGATATACTTAATAACAACGATAAATGCACAATATAACCCCACTCTAAAAAGACAAAGCTCTCCTCTATAAACTCCACATGCATAAATGCATTACACAAAATGAAATCAACATTCATGAACTAAGATCTCATTCATTCTGTAAGGAAAAGCAAATATTTCGTCCAAATGAAATGTCTACATCGAATACTAAGACTAAATACAACTTGAATACAATTAGCATATGAGTAATCAAACAATGTAGCATTCCAGTGTGCAATTGAAGAGAATATCAAACAATTTGTTATGTTTTTGTTTAGGATTCAAAATAGGTTTTGTTTGTAGTCTAGACTGTCTTTTAGTATTGACTTTGGTTTATTAATTCAATTACTGTTTAAAAGGAACTATCAATGACCTTTCACTTTAAAACATGGCGGTAACATGATGCAATCGATATTTTAAAATTAACTTGAAAGTCAACTGTGCATTCAGTATGTTTTCACAGCAATTGATCACCAAGATTTCAAATATGGCTACAATATGTGGTTATTCAAGAAAAGAGTATATACCTCTAGGTTTATCGGGAAGGCCCATATGCCCCATGTCTTGGAAGCGTTCATAGGCCATGGTAACCTCTTATGATTAGGTGGGCCGTGCGCATTTTTTGCCACCATCGTAGAAATATATATAATATAATAATATAATATAAAAAAACTGTACAAAGTTGACTACTTCACTTCGTCAATAAAGTAGGTATCAAAAGTAATGCAAATACGATTTTTAATTTGGTTTACTCATTTGGCAGTTCTAGTACTTTAATACCAATGATTTTTATACTAGTTAAAAAAAACATATATACAATCGAATAGAGAACCTCTTTCTTTTTTTGCACATAACATAACATAACATCACGCCTTTTATCTCCGAAGAGGTAGGCAGAGGTGCACACAGAAGTAACACCCACATTTCACTATTTACGTTATGAGTCCCATGTAATAGGGGGTGAGCCTATTGCCATATACTGTACACAATTCCAGACTCCATGCTACTACTGAGATTTTTAAAAAAACCCACTAATACTTTGCCCGACCCGGGAATTGAACCCGAGACCCCTTGCCCGGCAGTCGCAGTTGCGATCACTCGGCCAACGAGGCAGTCATTTTTTGAAGTCAGTTAAAAATATTATAATATATCAAAATAAAATTAATATTCTTACTAGTATACATTTGTATTGTCGATTATACTTTATATAACTAACTACAAACAAACATTTACGACTATTTCCATTGCGAGGTAAGCTGCCAAGTTGGACAGTTAGTGGTAAACCGAACTAATTAGTTCATTCTCAACTACCTGCACTTCCTGGCAACTTGTGCACTGTTATTATTGTAATCTTACTGCAAACCTGATTAACTTTAAACTTTGGTAATTAGCTAAAAATAACGCACGTAACTTAAAGCATTTTACATTCTCTGAAGTGATAGATTGAGGTTGGTTTCCTAATCTGTTTGTAGGTCATACTTTTATAACGGGCCTATAAACGTATCATATAGTTAATAGAACTGACAATATCACTTTAACCCTTTGAGTACCGTCATTATAGACACAATTAAAGAACAATAGGTTGCGGTCACCGGTGTCCTCGCGGTGTTTGACAGTTTAAGAGATCAAATATGTTCACGATGTTACATTTTATAATAGTTGGCTATATTAAGCCGGAACTGAGAACCTAATTATAAAATTTTAGAAATCAAATATTCTAATAGGACTTTTCGACTATATCGTCATACCCAACAGTTCTCATACGTTCATATATACAGGAGTTGCAGCGGTTTTGGGAGGCTGTGGCGGGATTGTCCCAAAAAAAAAATACTTAACAGTTGTATTTGCCACGCAACCTATACAGAAATAAAAACAACATTTTTTTTTATAAATAATAAAAAAATAGTTGTTTCTTATTTGACAGTAGGTACCTTGGATATTGTTTTTAATTTTTTTTCTTTTATTTTGTGAAATTTGGTGCTACGAATTACGATCGATGAAACTGAGAGTTACTTAATGATTCATAGCTAAAAATATTTTCAATATTTTCAATATTTTTAGCTATGAATCATTAATTACGGTAACGGTAAGAAAATATTATAATACTATCTTCCAAAAATATGATGTAAATTAGTTTTGTTTGTTTCAATTTGTAAATAAATAAATCATATCAATTCGAAATTCAATTCAATGAAATTAAGTAATAGATTGTTTATATTATATTAAAAATATCCAGCCAAAAGTCCTGTCTTGTATTCAAAATATTTGCATAATTGCGTAGTACCTTAGAGAAATAAATGTGTTAAGAAAACTTAATAATATTATGCAAAAGTCTGCAGTACAAATGTTCAGGAGGTAAGCCTTTTAATCGGGGATGTCTCTTTGTAGAAAAATGTAAAAGATCATAATCAGCCCTAAGCGTGGAGTCCAAAGCAAAAGACACAGCGATTTTTTTGCTTAATAGTATGTTACAAATATTAATGTCGTTTGAATTTCACATTGTCAAAATAAAACATTTATTTATTCACTGATAGAAGTATACAAATGTTTATAAATACAGCAAAAATAATGTACTCTGGAAAATTAACTACTATTTTGTAGAGTTATTTGAAAAATTAATATACGTAGAACTATACGATAGTAAAAATGTATTTCGGCCGAACTATAAAATACTATTACTCTATAAACAGAAGTTCCTTCTTATAAAATTCTAGCACAAAAAATACTACAGCAAACCTACCACAAATTACCAGCCTTATCACAGAACTTGTTTATCGCAACCGCCCACAACTTAGCCCATGCTACCAAAGAGTAGCGGTTATCTAAACAATACATTTGCATGTCTCCAGCCACCGAGGCAGATGTATCTTGCAACTTCTGAATACACCTTTATTTATAATGCTTAGCTTTTTTTATATGCAACATGCAACTGTATTGCTACTGGCAGGATGGTAGAACTGCGTTTAGCTTTTGTTTGTTATTCTGATGTTGGATATATATTTCTTATATTTATTTACACTTCTTGTAGGTATACAATGGCGGACTTAATGCCTAGTGGCATTCTCTAACAGTCAACCTTAGGGTGATGCAGAGCGACACAATAGTAGGTGTAAACGTGTAACACTTTTGAGTTTTGATCATACATTGACATGTAGATATAATTAACATTACATATAATTAACATTAACATCATATATAATTATACACATCACACAATATAATGAAGAAGTATTAAAATATATACGTAATGTGTGTTGTGTGTATTTTTTATTATATTCTCTAACACACATATTGATAATCATATTATGTGTACTTTTTAATCGTTATTTTTTTGTATCAAGCCCGCCACTACCTCCCGCTGCTACCCCTGTTTTTTTTTTTTAATAAATAATAAATTGAATTTCTCCACGGACTCGTGCCCGTGCCCTTGTCATGTTACAAATACATAGTTGTCATGGTCAAATATTTTTTTTTATAAATATCTTACATGCTACGCCTACCACTATCACTACACTACACACAATACTTTATATTGTTACCTAATTATTATAGTCTTATTATCTTAGACTAACCCTACTGAATCAGCCCACCAGCACGATGAACGAGCCGACCTGTTCCAGCAGAAGGCACCCGTTCACGGGTATGACGTGTAGGCCAGCAATCGGTCCGATCAACCATTTCGTTGGGAACGGAACGACCCAGCCCAACGCACCAACAGGAGCAGCCCACAGCGCTACTCCTGTTAGCCAGGATCTACAGTAGATACAACCATGAAAATACCGGAACACTGTACGGCACGTCATAGGGACATGAATAAGTGTGTTAATTCCCGCAACAAAATGAGTCAGAAGATATTATAAGAGGAGAAAATAATATGTTTGTTGATTCTCATCCTTTACCTTATCTTACAGTGCGTCTAGTACCCGTCCAAAGACTGAAGAGAGCTCGATCCGCCATGTCATTGTGTGAGAATTATCTCGGCCAATGACGGGCGAGAATGCGATTGAGTTCACTTCCAAAGTTCAAATTGACTGTTACAGCATAGCTAACCAGTTGTTAATACTCAACCGATTTTTTTTAACTTTGCACCACACTGGTAGTTGCTCCTGTGTTGTGAGTGCGTTTACAAACATACAAGTTCACATACATATGACACCCAGACCCGAAACAACAGTCTGTGGATCACACAAAGAGTTGTTCCGTGCGGGAATCGAGTCCGCGAAACGTTTGCCCAGCCACCGCGCTAATCGTATTGTCAAATTTCGCGGACTACGCATGAATATCGTGTCAACATAAAGAGCCAATTGCGAAAATAGTATAGAATATAGGTATTATTATTACAAAGATAAGAAGCCTGGCCGAGTGGTCGCAAGTGCGATTGCTGGGCAAGGGGTCTCGGGTTCGATTCCCGGGTCGGGCGAAGTAATACTGGGTTTTTAAAAAAAATC